AAAAACGGATGGAGTGGGATTTGTCAGAATTTTCTAAATTTTTATTTAAAATATGCAAAACATATGTGACGAACGCATTCGAATATTTCAAACTTATAAAGGAAAGTGTAGGAGAAAGAAGTTCCTTGAAAGTAAAATTTGTTTAATTGATTAAATTTAATCCGAACTTTTTCACTAATATAATTCGGATAAAAGAGGAAGAAAATAGTTTTGAGTTAATTTAATATACTTATGCATTTCAACAAGTTCTTTCTTAAATGACTTCATCTAATTAATAAGAAAATTTGTATAAAAAAAATAAGTTTAGTTACTGAAATTAAATGAGTATACTAGTTGTTCGTTGAGATATATTTAATGCCAATTATGTAATCTGATAAATTTACAGAAGATAATTTACTACTTATTCTTAGTTTCTTATTATTCTATTCGGAAATGTGCAATTGGGGGTGCAATTGTTCTTTATTCAAGTATTTATTTTGAGAGATCGCTGTAAATTAGATTCATTGAATTCAATTCGTGTTTGAACTGAATCCGTCTGGACTCACAAAAGTTTCTATACAGAATTTCTATCGAAAAAGTCAGTTCATAGGAAACCATTATCTAATTAACAGGTTATTCAGTCTGTTGATTGGTTTTAACTTTCATTAAGTTAATTAAGATGTAATATGATTTCTTTGGTAGGCGATATCTTTTTAGCAATAAAGTTTAACACATATATTTAATAAATTATTTGTGATAAGTTATGAAAGATGTTTTATAGGTTTTATTACTTATCAGTACTAAATAAGCATCAATCAATATCAAAACTATTAATTCTTCAAATCAACTTAATTTCTATGTTATCTGGATCTGGCGACAGAGACTGGAATGACGCAGAGCACATTTTTTGTTTTACTGTAACAAGTGGTTCACATTTAGAGAAGTGTTAATAACCTAAATCGAATCAATAAGTCCCGAAAAATGTAGTAAAAGATGAAAACGAACCTAGAGAACTGACAAACGATAGAGTCTTATATAATTCAAGTTCTCAATGCAAAGAAATTAGACCTTGAAAGAAGAAACAGAACTATGCTAATAAATAGTGCAAGAAAGTGAAAGTTTATTGAAAAATTGCAGTAAAAGCTTATAGTTCTATTTAGCGAATTTACCAACTAGCCTTATAAGACGCATCGATTAATTCTAAGAATAAATTACCAAAATTTTTCTACTTAATTTTTTTCCTTTACACATGAATTGAAAAATATGTGATTCGTTTAATTGGATTATTATCCTTACACGAGTGGTTCAAATATGGAACTTTGCGTGGGTGTTAAAGTTTAGCAATACTGAAAAAATATTTTGCAAAGTTTTTTTTAGTGTCAGCTATTGTGGTGCCTTTATTCTACAAACAAATCTAAAAAACTAACATGTTGTCTACTTCTGCAACATACTATATTTAATAATTATTATAAAACGATACCTAATCCAACATAATCTATTATATTTAATATTTATTGTAAAATTTATCTAAGATCAGGCAGCAATCAATACTGAATTGTACTAGTCCAGGATTAAACAAATGGAATAGGCAGAACTCCATGACTAGAGAGTGTCTAGCAGAAAAACTAACACCAATTTCATCAAAAGGTATTTAGAATCATATATGAAACCATTTTTAAATATTTGCTGAAAACAAAATGAAGCCCATTGTGGGTTGTAAAAAATCTTAGCTTGCATAGCTAAGCTACAGTCTTTCGAAAATAAATATCGTAGACCCAATTTTGCGTCCCTTAAGTTGATAAACATATCAG